GTAATTTCAGTGGTCGCATTGGTTTGATTTTTGGTTTGCTTGTAGGGCGCTGGCACCCGCATTCAGTGACCCAGAAAATTTGGCACTGCTGTGAATAGTTTAGTCGCAAAGTGAAGATTCACGAGTAAAAAGCCTCAAACTTCTAGATAGGTTCTTTTTCAGGTTTCAGCAGCCCTGGGTGAGTTCTTTAGAGAAATGTGGCTCTTTTTCATGGTGCTATTTTCTATGTTCAGCTACACAACGAGATGAGGATGGTCATTGTCATTTTCTGAGCTGCGAACGGGCAGAAAGGTGAGAAAATGTCGGATTTTGACCATTTGTGCTGACCTTTCAATTTCAACTTACCTCTCTATAACATGACCCAGCTGTAATTTCAGTGGTCGCATTGGTTTCATTTTTGGTTTGCTTGTAGGGCGCTGGCACCCGCATTCAGTGACCCAGAAAATTTGGCACCGCTGTGAATAGTTTAGTCGCAAAGTGAAGATTCACGGGTAAAAAGCCCCAAACTTCTAGATAGGTTCTTTTTCAGCTTTCAGCAGCCCTGGGTGAGTTCTTTAGAGAAATGTGACTCTTTTTCATGGTGCTCTTGTCTATGTCCAGCTAACCAACGAGATGAGGATGGTCATTGTCATTTTCTAAGCTGCGAACGGGCAGAAAGGTGAGAAAATGTCGGATTTTGACCATTTACGCTGACCTTCCAATTTCAACGTACCTCTCTATACCATGACCCAGCTGTTATGTCAGCGGTCGCATTGGTTTCATATTTGGTTTGCTTGTAGGGCGCTGGCACCCACAATCAGTGACCCTAAAAAATGGGCACTGCTGTGAATAGTTTAGTCGCAAAGTGAAGATTCACGGGTAAAAACCCCAAACTTCTAGATAGGTTCTTTTTCAGCTTTCAGCAGCCCTGGGCGAGTTCTTTAGAGAAATGTGGGTCTTTTTCTTGGTGCTCTTGTCTATGTCCAGCTACACAACGAGATGAGGATGGTCATTGTCATTTTCTGAGCTGCGAACGGGCAGAAAGGTGAGAAAATGTCGGATTCTGACCATTTGAGCTGACCTTTCAATTTCAACGTACCTCTCTATAACATGACCCAGCTGTAATTTCAGTGGTCGCATTGGTTTGATTTTTGGTTTGCTTGTAGGGCGCTGGCACCCGCATTCAGTGACCCAGAAAATTTGGCACTGCTGTGAATAGTTTAGTCGCAAAGTGAAGATTCACGAGTAAAAAGTCCCAAACTTCTAGATAGGTTCTTTTTCAGCTTTCAGCAGCCCTGGGTGAGTTCTTTAGAGAAATGTGGGTCTTTTTCATGGTGCTATTTTCTATGTCAGGCTACATAACGAGATGAGGATGGTCATTGTCATTTTCTGAGCTGCGAACGGGCAGAAAGGTGAGAAAATGTCGGATTTTGACCATTTGTGCTGACCTTTCAATTTCAACGTACCTCTCTATAACATGACCCAGCTGTAATTTCAGTGGTCGCATTGGTTTCATTTTTGGTTTGCTTGTAGGGTGCTGGCAACCGCATTCAGTGACCCAGAAAATTTGGCACTGCTGTGAATAGTTTAGTCGCAAAGTGAAGATTCAAGGGTAAAAAGGCCCAAAAATCTAGATAGGTTCTTTTTCAGCTTTCAGCAGCCCTGGGCGAGTTCTTTAGAGAAATGTGACTCTTTTTCATGGTGCTCTTGTCTATGTCCAGCTAACCAACGAGATGAGGATGGTCATTGTCATTTTCTAAGCTGCGAACGGGCAGAAAGGTGAGAAAATGTCGGATTTTGACCATTTACGCTGACCTTCCAATTTCAACGTACCTCTCTATACCATGACCCAGCTGTTATGTCAGCGGTCGCATTGGTTTCATATTTGGTTTGCTTGTAGGGCGCTGGCACCCACAATCAGTGACCCTAAAAAATGGGCACTGCTGTGAATAGTTTAGTCGCAAAGTGAAGATTCACGGGTAAAAACCCCAAACTTCTAGATAGGTTCTTTTTCAGCTTTCAGCAGCCCTGGGCGAGTTCTTTAGAGAAATGTGGGTCTTTTTCTTGGTGCTCTTGTCTATGTCCAGCTACACAACGAGATGAGGATGGTCATTGTCATTTTCTGAGCTGCGAACGGGCAGAAAGGTGAGAAAATGTCGGATTCTGACCATTTGAGCTGACCTTTCAATTTCAACGTACCTCTCTATAACATGACCCAGCTGTAATTTCAGTGGTCGCATTGGTTTGATTTTTGGTTTGCTTGTAGGGCGCTGGCACCCGCATTCAGTGACCCAGAAAATTTGGCACTGCTGTGAATAGTTTAGTCGCAAAGTGAAGATTCACGAGTAAAAAGTCCCAAACTTCTAGATAGGTTCTTTTTCAGCTTTCAGCAGCCCTGGGTGAGTTCTTTAGAGAAATGTGGCTCTTTTTCATGGTGCTATTTTCTATGTCAGGCTACATAACGAGATGAGGATGGTCATTGTCATTTTCTGAGCTGCGAACGGGCAGAAAGGTGAGAAAATGTCGGATTTTGACCATTTGTGCTGACCTTTCAATTTCAACGTACCTCTCTATAACATGACCCAGCTGTAATTTCAGTGGTCGCATTGGTTTCATTTTTGGTTTGCTTGTAGGGCGCTGGCACCCGCATTCAGTGACCCAGAAAATTTGGCACCGCTGTGAATAGTTTAGTCGCAAAGTGAAGATTCACGGGTAAAAAGCCCCAAACTTCTAGATAGGTTCTTTTTCAGCTTTCAGCAGCCCTGGGTGAGTTCTTTAGAGAAATGTGGCTCTTTTTCATGGTGCTACTTTCTATGTCCAGCTACACAACGAGATGAGGATGGTCATTGTCATTTTCTGAGCTGCGAACGGGCAGAAAGGTGAGAAAATGTCGGATTTTGACCATTTGTGCTGACCTTCCAATTTCAACGTACCTCTCTATAACATGACCCAGTTGTAATTTCAGTGGTCGCATTGGTTTGATTTTTGGTTTGCTTGTAGGGCGCTGGCACCCGCATTCAGTGACCCAGAAAATTTGGCACTGCTGTGAATAGTTTAGTCGCAAAGTGAAGATTCACGGGTAAAAAGCCCCAAACTTCTAGATAGGTTCTTTTTCAGCTTTCAGCAGCCCGGGGTGAGTTCTTTAGAGAAATGTGGCTCTTTTTCATGGTGCTATTTTCTATGTCCAGGTACACAACGAGATGAGGATGGTCATTGTCATTTTCTGAGCTGCGAACGGGCAGAAAGGTGAGAAAATGTCGGATTTTGACCATTTGTGCTGACCTTTCAATTTCAACGTACCTCTCTATAACATGACCCAGCTGTAATTTCAGTGATCGCATTGGTTTCAGTTTTGGGTTGCTTGTAGGGCGCTGGCACCCGCATTCAGTGACCCAGGAAATTTGGCACTGCTGTGAATAGTTTAGTCGCAAAGTGAAGATTCACGGGTAAAAAGCCCCAAACTTCTAGATAGGTTCTTTTTGAGCTTTCAGCAGCCCTGGGCGAGTTCTTTAGAGAAATGTAAGTCTTTTTCTTGGTGCTCTTGTCTATGTCCAGCTACACAACGAGATGAGGATGGTCATTGTCATTTTTTAAGCTGCGAACGGGCAGAAAGGTGAGAAAATGTCGGATTTTGACCATTTGTGCTGACCTTTCAATTTCAACGTACCTCTCTATAACATGACCCAGCTGTAATTTCAGTGGTCGCATTGGTTTCATTTTTGGTTTGCTTGTAGGGCGCTGGCACCCGCATTCAGTGACCCAGAAAATTTGGCACTGCTGTGAATAGTTTAGTCGCAAAGTGAAGATTCACGGGTTAAAAGCCCCAAAATTCTAGATAGGTTCTTTTCAGCTTTCAGCAGCCCTGGGCGAGTTCTTTAGAGAAATGTGAGTCTTTTTCTTGGTGCTCTTGTCTATGTCCAGCTACACAACAAGATGAGGATGGTCATTGTCATTTTCTGAGCTGCGAACGGGCAGAAAGGTGAGAAAATGTCGGATTTTGACCCTTTGTGCTGACCTTTCAATTTCAACGTACCTCTCTATAACATGACCCAGCTGTAATTTCAGTGGTCGCATTGGTTTCATTTTTGGTTTGCTTGTAGGGTGCTGGCAACCGCATTCAGTGACCTAGAAAATTTGGCACTGCTGTGAATAGTTTAGTCGCAAAGTGAAGATTCAAGGGTAAAAAGGCCCAAAAATCTAGATAGGTTCTTTTTCAGCTTTCAGCAGCCCTGGGCGAGTTCTTTAGAGAAATGTGACTCTTTTTCATGGTGCTCTTGTCTATATCCAGCTAACCAACGAGATGAGGATGCTCATTGTCATTTTCTAAGCTGCGAACGGGCAGAAAGGTGAGAAAATGTTGGATTTTGACCATTTACGCTGACCTTCCAATTTCAACGTACCTCTCTATACCATGACCCAGCTGTTATGTCAGCGGTCGCATTGGTTTCATATTTGGTTTGCTTGTAGGGCGCTGGCACCCACAATCAGTGACCCTAAAAAATGGGCACTGCTGTGAATAGTTTAGTCGCAAAGTGAAGATTCACGGGTAAAAACCCCAAACTTCTAGATAGGTTCTTTTTCAGCTTTCAGCAGCCCTGGGCGAGTTCTTTAGAGAAATGTGGGTCTTTTTCTTGGTGCTCTTGTCTATGTCCAGCTACACAACGAGATGAGGATGGTCATTGTCATTTTCTGAGCTGCGAACGGGCAGAAAGGTGAGAAAATGTCGGATTCTGACCATTTGAGCTGACCTTTCAATTTCAACGTACCTCTCTATAACATGACCCAGCTGTAATTTCAGTGGTCGCATTGGTTTGATTTTTGGTTTGCTTGTAGGGCGCTGGCACCCGCATTCAGTGACCCAGAAAATTTGGCACTGCTGTGAATAGTTTAGTCGCAAAGTGAAGATTCACGAGTAAAAAGTCCCAAACTTCTAGATAGGTTCTTTTTCAGCTTTCAGCAGCCCTGGGTGAGTTCTTTAGAGAAATGTGGCTCTTTTTCATGGTGCTATTTTCTATGTCCAGCTACATAACGAGATGAGGATGGTCATTGTCATTTTCTGAGCTGCGAACGGGCAGAAAGGTGAGAAAATGTCGGATTTTGACCATTTGTGCTGACCTTTCAATTTCAACGTACCTCTCTATAACATGACCCAGCTGTAATTTCAGTGGTCGCATTGGTTTCATTTTTGGTTTGCTTGTAGGGCGCTGGCACCCGCATTCAGTGACCCAGAAAATTTGGCACCGCTGTGAATAGTTTAGTCGCAAAGTGAAGATTCACGGGTAAAAAGACCCAAACTTCTAGATAGGTTCTTTTTCAGCTTTCAGCAGCCCTGGGTGAGTTCTTTAGAGAAATGTGGCTCTTTTTCATGGTGCTACTTTCTATGTCCAGCTACACAACGAGATGAGGATGGTCATTGTCATTTTCTGAGCTGCGAACGGGCAGAAAGGTGAGAAAATGTCGGATTTTGACCATTTGTGCTGACCTTCCAATTTCAACGTACCTCTCTATAACATGACCCAGCTGTAATTTCAGTGGTCGCATTGGTTTGATTTTTGGTTTGCTTGTAGGGCGCTGGCACCCACATTCAGTGACCCAGAAAATGTGGCACTGCTGTGAATAGTTTAGTCGCAAAGTGAAGATTCACGGGTAAAAAGCCCCAAACTTCTAGATAGGTTCTTTTTCAGCTTTCAGCAGCCCGGGGTGAGTTCTTTAGAGAAATGTGGCTCTTTTTCATGGTGCTATTTTCTATGTCCAGGTACACAACGAGATGAGGATGGTCATTGTCATTTTCTGAGCTGCGAACGGGCAGAAAGGTGAGAAAATGTCGGATTTTGACCATTTGTGCTGACCTTTCAATTTCAACGTACCTCTCTATAACATGACCCAGCTGTAATTTCAGTGGTCGCATTGGTTTGATTTTTGGTTTGCTTGTAGGGCGCTGGCACCCGCATTCAGTGACCCAGAAAATTTGGCACTGCTGTCAATAGTTTAGTCGCAAAGTGAAGATTCACGGGTAAAAAGCCCCAAACTTCTAGATAGGTTCTTTTTCAGCTTTCAGCAGCCCTGGGCGAGTTCTTTGGAGAAATGTAAGTCTTTTTCTTGGTGCTCTTGTCTATGTCCAGCTACACAACGAGATGAGGATGGTCATTGTCATTTTTTAAGCTGCGAACGGGCAGAAAGGTGAGAAAATGTCGGATTTTGACCATTTGTGCTGACCTGCCAATTTCAACGTACCTCTCTATAACATGACCCAGCTGTAATTTCAGTGGTCGCATTGGTTTCATTTTTGGTTTGCTTGTAGGGCGCTGGCAACCGCATTCAGTGACCCAGAAAATTTGGCACTGCTGTGAATAGTTTAGTCGCAAAGTGAAGATTCACGGGTAAAAAGGCCCAAAATTCTAGATAGGTTCTTTTTCAGCTTTCAGCAGCCCTGGGTGAGTTCTTTAGAGAAATGTGGCCCTTTTTCATGGTGCTATTTTCTATGTCCAGCTACACAACGAGATGAGGATGGTCATTGTCATTTTCTGAGCTGCGAACGGGCAGAAAGGTGAGAAAATGTCGGATTTTGACCATTTGTGCTGACCTTTCAATTTCAACGTACCTCTCTATAACATGACCCAGCTGTAATTTCAGTGGTCGCATTGGCATTAGTTTTGGTTTGCTTGTAGGGCGTTGGCACCAGCATTCAGTGACCCAGAAAATTTGGCACTGCTGTGAATAGTTTAGTCGCAAAGTGAAGATTCACGGGTGAAAAGCCCCAAAATTCTAGATAGGTTCTTTTTCAGCTTACAGAAGCCCTGGGTGAGTTCTTTAGAGAAATGTGACTCTTTTTCTTGGTGCTCTTGTCTATGTCCAGCTAACGAACGAGATGAGGATGGTCATTGTCATTTTCTAAGCTGCGAACGGGCAGAAAGGTGAGAAAATGTCGGATTTTGACCATTTGTGCTGACCTCTCAATTTCAACGTACCTCTCTATAACATGACCCAGCTGTAATATCAGCGGTCGCATTGGTTTCATTTTTGGTTTGCTTGTAGGGCGCTGGCACCCACAATCAGTGACCCTAAAAATTTGGCACTGCTGTGAATAGTTTAGTCGCAAAGTGAAGATTCACGGGTAAAAAGCCCCAAACTTCTAGATAGGTTCTTTTTCAGCTTTCAGCATCCCTGGGCGAGTTCTTTAGAGAAATGTGGGTCTTTTTCTTGGTGCTCTTGTCTATGTCCGGCAACACAACAATATGAGGATGGTCATTGTCATTTTCTGAGTTGCGAACGGGCAGAAAGGTGAGAAAATGTCGGATTTTGACCATTTGTGCTGACCTTTCAATTTCAACGTACCTCTCTATAACATGAACCAGCTGTAATGTCAGTGGTCGGATTGATTTGATTTTTGGTTTGCTTTTAGGGCGCTGGCACCCACATTCATTGACGCAGAAAATGTGGCACTGCTGTGAATAGTTTAGTCGCAAAGTGAAGATTCACGGGTAAAAAGCCCCAAACTTCTAGATAGGTTCTTTTTCAGCTTTCAGCAGCCCTGGGCGAGTTCTTTAGAGAAATGTGACTCTTTTTCATGGTGCTCTTGTCTATTTCCAGCTAACGAACGAGATGAGGATGGTCATTGTCATTTTCTAAGCTGCGAACGGGCAGAAAGGTGAGAAAATGTCGGATTTTGACCATTTGTGCTGACCTTTCAATTTCAACGTACCTCTCTATAACATGACCCAGCTGTAATTTCAGTGGTCGCATTGGTTTCATTTTTGGTTTGCTTGTAGGGCGCTGGCACCCGCATTCAGTGACCCAGAAAATTTGGCACCGCTGTGTATAGTTTAGTCGCAAAGTGAAGATTCACGGGTAAAAAGCCCCAAACTTCTAGATAGGTTCTTTTTCAGCTTTCAGCAGCCCTGGGTGAGTTCTTTAGAGAAATGTGGCTCTTTTTCATGGTGCTACTTTCTATGTCCAGCTACACAACGAGATGAGGATGGTCATTGTCATTTTCTGAGCTGCGAACGGGCAGAAAGGTGAGAAAATGTCGGATTTTGACCATTTGTGCTGACCTTCCAATTTCAACGTACCTCTCTATAACATGACCCAGCTGTAATTTCAGTGGTCGCATTGGTTTGATTTTTGGTTTGCTTGTAGGGCGCTGGCACCCACATTCAGTGACCCAGAAAATGTGGCACTGCTGTGAATAGTTTAGTCGCAAAGTGAAGATTCACGGGTAAAAAGCCCCAAACTTCTAGATAGGTTCTTTTTCAGCTTTCAGCAGCCCGGGGTGAGTTCTTTAGAGAAATGTGGCTCTTTTTCATGGTGCTATTTTCTATGTCCAGGTACACAACGAGATGAGGATGGTCATTGTCATTTTCTGAGCTGCGAACGGGCAGAAAGGTGAGAAAATGTCGGATTTTGACCATTTGTGCTGACCTTTCAATTTCAACGTACCTCTCTATAACATGACCTAGCTGTAATTTGAGTGATCGCATTGGTTTCAGTTTTGGGTTGCTTGTAGGGCGCTGGCACCCGCATTCAGTGACCCAGAAAATTTGGCACTGCTGTGAATAGTTTAGTCGCAAAGTGAAGATTCACGGGTAAAAAGCCCCAAACTTCTAGATAGGTTCTTTTTCAGCTTTCAGCACCCCTGGGCGAGTTCTTTAGAGAAATGTAAGTCTTTTTCTTGGTGCTCTTGTCTATGTCCAGCTACACAACGAGATGAGGATGGTCATTGTCATTTTTTTAGCTGCGAACGGGCAGAAAGGTGAGAAAATGTCGGATTTTGACCATTTGTGCTGACCTTTCAATTTCAACGTACCTCTCTATAACATGACCCAGCTGTAATTTCAGTGGTCGCATTGGTTTCATTTTTGGTTTGCTTGTAGGGCGCTGGCAACCGCATTCAGTGACCCAGAAAATTTGGCACTGCTGTGAATAGTTTAGTCGCAAAGTGAAGATTCACGTGTAAAAAGGCCCAAAATTCTAGATAGGTTCTTTTTCAGCTTTCAGCAGCCCTGGGTGAGTTCTTTAGAGAAATGTGGCCCTTTTTCATGGTGCTATTTTCTATGTCCAGCTACACAACGAGATGAGGATGGTCATTGTCATTTTCTGAGCTGCGAACCGGCAGACAGGTGAGAAAATGTCGGATTTTGACCATTTGTGCTGACCTTTCAATTTCAACGTACCTCTCTATAACATGACCCAGCTGTAATTTCAGTGGTCGCATTGGCATTAGTTTTGGTTTGCTTGTAGGGCGTTGGCACCCGCATTCAGTGACCCAGAAAATTTGGCACTGCTGTGAATAGTTTAGTCGCAAAGTGAAGATTCACGGGTAAAAAGGCCCAAAATTCTAGATAGGTTCTTTTTCAGCTTACAGAAGCCCTGGGTGAGTTCTTTAGAGAAATGTGACTCTTTTCCTTGGTGCTCTTGTCTATGTCCAGCTACACAACGAGATGAGGATGGTCATTGTCATTTTCTGAGCTGCGAACGGGCAGAAAGGTGAGAAAATGTCGGATTTTGACCATTTGTGCTGACCTTTCAATTTCAACGTACCTCTCTATAACATGACCCAGCTGTAATTTCAGTGGTCGCATTGGCATTAGTTTTGGTTTGCTTGTAGGGCGTTGGCACCCGCATTCAGTGACCCAGAAAATTTGGCACTGCTGTGAATAGTTTAGTCGCAAAGTGAAGATTCACGGGTAAAAAGGCCCAAAATTCTAGATAGGTTCTTTTTCAGCTTACAGAAGCCCTGGGTGAGTTCTTTAGAGAAATGTGACTCTTTTTTTTGGTGCTCTTGTCTATGTCCAGCTAACGAACGAGATGAGGATGGTCATTGTCATTTTCTGAGCTGCGAACGGGCAGAAAGGTGAGAAAATGTCGGATTTTGACCATTTGTGCTGACCTCTCAATTTCAACGTACCTCTCTATAACATGACCCAGCTGTAATATCAGCGGTCGCATTGGTTTCATTTTTGGTTTGCTTGTAGGGCGCTGGCACCCACAATCAGTGACCCTAAAAATTTGGCACTGCTGTGAATAGTTTAGTCGCAAAGTGAAGATTCACGGGTAAAAAGCCCCAAACTTCTAGATAGGTTCTTTTTCAGCTTTCAGCATCCCTGGGCGAGTTCTTTAGAGAAATGTGGGTCTTTTTCTTGGTGCTCTTGTCTATGTCCGGCAACACAACAATATGAGGATGGTCATTGTCATTTTCTGAGTTGCGAACGGGCAGAAAGGTGAGAAAATGTCGGATTTTGACCATTTGTGCTGACCTTTCAATTTCAACGTACCTCTCTAGAACATGAACCAGCTGTAATGTCAGTGGTCGGATTGATTTGATTTTTGGTTTGCTTTTAGGGCGCTGGCACCCGCATTCATTGACGCAGAAAATGTGGCTCTGCTGTGAATAGTTTAGTCGCAAAGTGAAGATTCACGGGTTAAAAGCCCCAAACTTCTAGATAGGTTCTTTTTCAGCTTTCAGCAGCCCCGGGCGAGTTCTTTAGAGAAATGTGACTCTTTTTCATGGTGCTCTTGTCTATGTCCAGCTAACGAACGAGATGAGGATGGTCATTGTCATTTTCTAAGCTGCGAACGGGCAGAAAGGTGAGAAAATGTCGGATTTTGACCATTTGTGCTGACCTTTCAATTTCAACGTACCTCTCTATAACATGACCCAGCTGTAATATCAGCGGTCGCATTGGTTTGATTTTTGGTTTGCTTGTAGGGCGCTGGCATCCGCATTCAGTGACCCAGAAAAGTTGGCACTGCTGTGAATAGTTTAGTCGCAAAGTGAAGATTCACGGGTAAAAAGCCCCAAACTTCTAGATAGGTTCTTTTCAGCTTTCAGCAGCCCTGGGCGAGTTCTTTAGAGAAATGTGGCTCTTTTTCATGGTACTATTTTCTATGTCCAGCTACACAACGATATGAGGATGGTCATTGTCATTTTCTGAGCTGCGAACGGGCAGAAAGGTGAGAAAATGTCGGATTTTGACCATTTGTGCTGACCTTTCAATTTCAACGTACCTCTCTATAACATGACCCAGCTGTAATTTCAGTTATCGCATTGGTTTCAGTTTTGGGTTGCTTGTAGGGCGCTGGCACCCGCATTCAGTGACCCAGAAAATGTGGCACTGCTGTGAATAGTTTAGTCGCAAAGTGAAGATTCACGGGTAAAAAGCCCCAAACTTCTAGATAGGTTCTTTTTCAGCTTTCAGCAGCCCTGGGCAAGTTCTTTAGAGAAATGTAAGTCTTTTTCTTGGTGCTCTTGTCTATGTCCAGCTACACAACGAGATGAGGATGGTCATTGTCATTTTTTAAGCTGCGAACGGGCAGAAAGGTGAGAAAATGTCGGATTTTGACCATTTGTGCTGACCTTTCAATTTCAACGTACCTCTCTATAACATGACCCAGCTGTATTTTCAGTGGTCGCATTGGTTTCATTTTTGGTTTGCTTGTAGGGCGCTGGCAACCGCATTCAGTGACCCAGAAAATTTGGCGCTGCTGTGAATAGTTTAGTCGCAAAGTGAAGATTCACGGGTAAAAAGCCCCAAACTTCTAGGTAGGTTCTTTTTCAGCTTTCAGCAGCCCTGGGTGAGTTCTTTAGAGAAATGTGGCTCTTTTTCATGGTGCTATTTTCTATGTCCAGCTACACAACGAGATGAGGATGGTCATTGTCATTTTCTGAGCTGCGAACGGGCAGAAAGGTGAGAAAATGTCGGATTTTGACCATTTGTGCTGACCTTTCAATTTCAACGTACCTCTCTATAACATGACCCAGCTGTAATTTCAGTGGTCGCATTGGTTTCAGTTTTGGTTTGCTTGTAGGGCGTTGGCACCCGCATTCAGTGACCCAGAAAATTTGGCACTGCTGTGAATAGTTTAGTCGCAAAGTGAAGATTCACGGGTAAAAAGGCCCAAAATTCTAGATAGGTTCTTTTTCAGCTTACAGAAGCCCTGGGTGAGTTCTTTAGAGAAATGTGACTCTTTTTCTTGGTGCTTTTGTCTATGTCCAGCTAACGAACGAGATGAGGATGGTCATTGTCATTTTCTAAGCTGCAAACGGGCAGAAAGGTGAGAAAATGTCGGATTTTGACCATTTGTGCTGACCTTTCAATTTCATTGTACCTCTCTATAACATGACCCAGCTGTAATTTCAGTGATCGCATTGGTTTCAGTTTTGGGTTGCTTGTAGGGCGCTGGCACCCGCATTCAGTGACCCAGAAAATTTGGCACTGCTGTGAATAGTTTAGTCGCAAAGTGAAGATTCACGGGTAAAAAGGCCCAAAATTCTAGATAGGTTCTTTTTCAGCTTACAGAAGCCCTGGGTGAGTTCTTTAGAGAAATGTGACTCTTTTTCTTGGTGCTCTTGTCTATGTCCAGCTAACGAACGAGATGAGGATGGACATTGTCATTTTCTAAGCTGCGAACGGGCAGAAAGGTGAGAAAATGTCGGATTTTGACCATTTGTGCTGACCTTTCAATTTCATTGTACCTCTCTATAACATGACCCAGCTGTAATTTCAGTGATCGCATTGGTTTCAGTTTTGGGTTGCTTGTAGGGCGCTGGCACCCGCATTCAGTGACCCAGAAAATTTGGCACCGCTGTGAATAGTTTAGTCGCAAAGTGAAGATTCACGGGTAAAAAGCCCCAAACTTCTAGATAGGTTCTTTTTCAGCTTTCAGCAGCCCTGGGCGAGTTCTTTAGAGAAATGTAAGTCTTTTTCTTGGTGCTCTTGTCTATGTCCAGCTACACAACGAGATGAGGATGGTCATTGTCATTTTTTAAGCTGCGAACGGGCAGAAAGGTGAGAAAATGTCGGATTTTGACCATTTGTGCTGACCTTTCAATTTCAACGTACCTCTCTATAACATGACCCAGCTGTAATTTCAGTGGTCGCATTGGTTTCATTTTTGGTTTGCTTGTAGGGCGCTGGCAACCGCATTCAGTGACCCAGAAAATTTGGCACTGCTGTGAATAGTTTAGTCGCAAAGTGAAGATTCACGGGTAAAAAGGCCCAAAATTCTAGATAGGTTCTTTTTCAGCTTACAGAAGCCCTGGGTGAGTTCTTTAGAGAAATGTGACTCTTTTTCTTGGTGCTCTTGTCTATGTCCAGCTAACGAACGAGATGAGGATGAACATTGTCATTTTCTAAGCTGCGAACGGGCAGAAAGGTGAGAAAATGTCGGATTTTGACCATTTGTGCTGACCTTTCAATTTCATTGTACCTCTCTATAACATGACCCAGCTGTAATTTCAGTGATCGCATTGGTTTCAGTTTTGGGTTGCTTGTAGGGCGCTGGCACCCGCATTCAGTGACCCAGAAAATTTGGCACCGCTGTGAATAGTTTAGTCGCAAAGTGAAGATTCACGGGTAAAAAGCCCCAAACTTCTAGATAGGTTCTTTTTCAGCTTTCAGCAGCCCTGGGCGAGTTCTTTAGAGAAATGTAAGTCTTTTTCTTGGTGCTCTTGTCTATGTCCAGCTACACAACGAGATGAGGATGGTCATTGTCATTTTTTAAGCTGCGAACGGGCAGAAAGGTGAGAAAATGTCGGATTTTGACCATTTGTGCTGACCTTTCAATTTCAACGTACCTCTCTATAACATGACCCAGCTGTAATTTCAGTGGTCGCATTGGTTTCATTTTTGGTTTGCTTGTAGGGCGCTGGCATCCGCATTCAGTGACCCAGAAAATTTGGCACTGCTGTGAATAGTTTAGTCGCAAAGTGAAGATTCACGGGTAAAAAGCCCCAAACTTCTAGGTAGGTTCTTTTTCAGCTTTCAGCAGCCCTGGGTGAGTTCTTTAGAGAAATGTGGCCCTTTTTCATGGTGCTATTTTCTATGTCCAGCTACACAACGAGATGAGGATGGTCATTGTCATTTTCTGAGCTGCGAACGGGCAGAAAGGTGAGAAAATGTCGGATTTTGACCATTTGTGCAGACCTTTCAATTTCAACGTACCTCTCTATAACATGACCCAGCTGTAATTTCAGTGGTCGCATTGGTTTCAGTTTTGGTTTGCTTGTAGGGCGTTGGCACCCGCATTCAGTGACCCAGAAAATTTGGCACTGCTGTGAATAGTTTAGTCGCAAAGTGAAGATTCACGGGTAAAAAGGCCCAAAATTCTAGATAGGTTCTTTTTCAGCTTACAGAAGCCCTGGGTGAGTTCTTTAGAGAAATGTGACTCTTTTTCTTGGTGCTCTTGTCTATGTCCAGCTAACGAACGAGATGAGGATGGTCATTGTCATTTTCTAAGCTGCGAACGGGCAGAAAGGTGAGAAAATGTCGGATTTTGACCATTTGTGCTGACCTTTCAATTTCAACGTACCTCTCTATAACATGACCCAGCTGTAATATCAGCGGTCGCATTGGTTTCATTTTTGGTTTGCTTGTAGGGCGCTGGCACCCACAATCAGTGACTTTAAAAATTTGGCACTGCTGTGAATAGTTTAGTCGCAAAGTGAAGATTCACGGGTAAAAAGCCCCAAACTTCTAGATAGGTTCTTTTTCAGCTTTCAGCAGCCCTGGGCGAGTTCTTTAGAGAAATGTGAGTCTTTTTCTTGGTGCTCTTGTCTATGTCCAGCTACACAACGAGATGAGGATGGTCATTGTCATTTTCTGAGCTGTGAACGGGCAGAAAGGTGAGAAAATGTCGGGTTTTGACCCTTTGTGCTGACCTTTCAATTTCAACGTACCTCTCTATAACATGACCCAGCTGTAATTTCAGTGGTTGCATTGGTTTGGTTTTTGGTTTGGTTGTAGGGCGCTGGCACCCGCATTCAGTGACCCAGAAAATTTGGCACTGCTGTGAATAGTTTAGTCGCAAAGTGAAGATTCACGGGTAAAAAGCCCCAAACTTCTAGATAGGTTCTTTTTCAGCTTTCAGCAGCCCTGGGCGAGTTCTTTAGCGACATGTGAGTCTTTTTCTTGGTGCTCTTGTCCATGTCCAGCTACACAACGAGATGAGGATGGTCATTGTCATTTTCTGAGCTGCGAACGGGCAGAAAGGTGAGAAAATGTCGGATTTTGACCATTTGTGCTGACCTTTCAATTTCAACGTACCTCTCTATAACATGACCCTGCTGTAATTTCAGTGGTCGCATTGGTTTCATTTTTGGTTTGCTTGTAGAGCGCTGGCACCCGCATTCAGTGACCCAGAAAATTTAGCACTGCTGTGAATAGTTTAGTCGCAAAGTGAAGATTCACGGGTAAAAAGCCCCAAACTTCTAGATAGGTTTTTTTCAGCTTTCAGCAGCCCTGGGCAAGTTCTTTAGAGAAATGTGACTCTTTTTCATGGTGCTCTTGTCTATGTCCAGCTAACCAACGAGATGAGGATGGTCATTGTCATTTTCTAAGCTGCGAACGGGCAGAAAGGTGAGAAAATGTCGGATTTTGACCATTTATGCTTACCTTTCAATTTCAACGTACCTCTCTATAACATGACCCAGCTGTAATGTCAGCGGTCGCATTGGTTTCATAATTGGTTTGCTTGGAGGGCGCTGGCACCCACAATCAGTGACCCTAAAAATTTGGCACTGCTGTGAATAGTTTAGTCGCAAAGTGAAAATTCACGGGTAAAAAGCCCCAAACTTCCAGATAGGTTCTTTTTCAGCTTTCAGCAGCCCTGGGCGAGTTCTTTAGAGAAATGTGCGTCTTTTTCTTGGTGCTCTTGTCTATGTCCAGCTATACAACGAGATGAGGATGGTCATTGTCATTTTCTGAGCTGCGAACGGGCAGAAAGGTGAGAAAATGTCGGATTTTGACCATTTGTGCTAACCTTTCAATTTCAACGTACCTCTCTATAACATGAACCAGCTGTAATTTCAGTGGTCGCTGTAGACATCTATTCAGTCACTCACAAGACAGCCATTGTGCTAAACAGATCTTCTTTAGTTCTCTATCAGAAGTGCGCCATGTCATCTCTCTCGTGCTATACATAAAGCGGTACAAGCACGTGCATGCCTGCACGTGCGTACATAGTACTACATACAACTGCATGTACGATATCTACATTACCCCCCTTCCCTCAAAAAGAAAAAAAAAAGAAGAAAGAGAAAAAAGGAAAACAAAAACAAAACAAAAACACTTGCATCCGTATCCTGCAGCTTGCAGAGGAATGTACGTACATGTGTTGGAGTAAAAGAGAGACGGGAAGTGTTGCAACTATTAGAAATAATCTGACTCAAACTTGAGGCAAAAACACCATGAGTTTGAGTTACAATGCAAACTCGACCAATAAGGGGAAAAAATAAAGAAAAATCTAAATATTCACAAGGTAGTTAGAAGATTCTAAACAACGCCAATCTGGTAGCGATTGAAGCCACTCATTTGGTAATGCATGACTCGACGACTCAGATGTCAGCTTCACGTGCTTTCTCTGTAAGCTTGATCTGACGGCCAGCTCTGGTCTGTACGCCCTCGCGGAATACACTTGGATGAGATGTTGGCGGTGACAGTGACATACAGGCCGGTGTTGCAGGTGGTGCTGTCGTCTCCGGTGAAGCTGCAGGAGACAACGGCAATGTGAGCGCAGTTACCGGAGCTTCGGGCCTGGATGTTGCGCTGCTCGCTGACGAAAGGCTTGTTGGGTCGGACACTGGCAGTGCTGGAGCACACACTGGCTCTGGCACATGCTCCCTCTCTGACTGTGCCGGAGGTTCACTCGTGGGTGCTTTCTCCGCTGCTGCTGCTGGTGCTACAAACTCGGTGACATGCTGACGGTTCCGGAGCAGTATGCGTGACCCATCAGTGACCCCAACCTGACGACCATACTGCTCTACTACCTTCCATTCTTTTCGAGGGTCGCTATACCCATCATGGAGCACTACCCGCGTACCTGATGGCAAATGGGGTAACTTGCGGACACCTCGGCGCGAGTCATGACCTTCAACCATTGCTGCTTTCGCCTTGATCTGCTCAGATGGGTTGACGATCTGTGGGGTGATGGATGCTGGAACCCGTGTCCGAATGACTCTGCTGAACAACGCTTCGCTCGGCGATGTACCTAGCATCCGGTGCCGCGAATTGCGAATGTCGAACAAGACTTGAGTGATGCGGCGGTGTAGCGGTAGATGAGGTCTCAGACTGGCAACTCGTTCTTTCACCAGACGATGTAGTCGCTCCACCATACCGTTAGAGCGGGCATACCGGGGGCTAGACTTGCAATGCTCAACACCCAACTGAGTGAGAAACTTGGACATCTCAGTGGATGCAAACTGTGGGCCCCAATCCGAGACGAGTGTTGAAGGCAGACCAAACCGTGCGAACAACTCCATCAGCTTGTCGATCACACCCGTTGTCGTAGTATTGGACAGTGGTAGAAGCTCTGGCCAGCGGGAACCATAATCAATAGCAGACAGGAACGTGGCTCCCTCAATGGTAACAAGATCAATGGCCAGTTTCTGCCAGACACCTTCTATCTCTGTAGGGAGGAGCTGTTGCGCTGGATTGGAGCGTTTACGCCAGCATTCAGAGCATTTCTCTGCAAACAGATTGGCATCCTTCATGAGACCTGGCCACCAAACCCATTCGCGAAGGGTATCCCGGAATGCATCGATGCCTGGATGACCTTCATGTGCTAGTCGCAGCACCGCTGGGCGGAGCTCTTCTGGAATGACGTAGCGATTGTCTAGCATGACAATCCCGTCAATGACTGTCAGCTGATGGCGTAGCAGGAAGTAAGGCTCTTCCGTTTGGATGCACCCTGACCAAACTGATGTGCCCACTCTTTGTCGGACGCTGCTCAGTGTCGGATCAGAGTCCGTGGCCTGGCGAATATCCTTGGAACGAACCGGACAAGCCTCGAGAATGAGACTAACGAATTCCGCCATTGAACGTGCCTCTGCAGGTGAAGCTGTGCGATCAGGTAGAGGAGCTCGAGAGAGGGTGTCAGCACAAACCATCTGCTGACCAGGGACGAACACCAAGCTGTAGCGATAGGGCATCAATGCGACCAGCCATCTCTGAAGCCTCGGTGGCACTTCGTCGAACGGCTTCTGGACGATAGAAATAAGCGGCTTGTGATCCGTAAACACTTGCACTTCTCGGCCTAGTACATACTGCCGAAAGCGAGTCAGGCCGAATACTACTCCCAGCATCTCTCGTTCCAGCTGAGAATAGCGTGACTCAACATCTGATAGAGAGCGACTGGCACAGGTCACTGGTACCCAACAGCCACTGGTATTCTTCTGCCACAGGACTGCTCCCAAACCGTCTGGCGATGCATCACAGCTGATAGCAGTAGGGACGTCCAATGCTGGTTGAAAGAATGCCAACGCTTGCAAAGCTGACGCTATACCAGCCTTTGCTGAGGTGAATGCCTGCAGGACTTCATCATCCACACTGAAGGGATCACGCTTTGCTAGCCTGCGCAGAGAAGCCGTGATCTGGGCCAAGTTCGGAATGAACTTTCCAAGGTACGTAGCCATCCCCAGGAACCGTCGCACATCGGAGATAGATTTCGGAGGGGCCAGCTCCTGGATGGCTTGTAACTTGTCATCATCTGGGGACAAGCCGGTCGCACTTAGCCAATGTCCCAGATACTTCACACGGTCCTGGTTCAGTCGGCACTTGGTCCAGTTGAGTTGGAGGTTAGCTGCTCGCAGTCGCTGCTTGACTGCTTCTAGCCGTGCATCGTGTTCTGCTTGATTAGAGCCAAACACTAGGATGTCGTCGATGTAGACGATGACTCCTGGCAGGCCTTCCAGAATGTCGGACACCACTCGCTGGAAAATCTCAGGCGCACATGCAATACCGAAAGGTAAACGCTTGAAACGGAACAGGCCACAGTGCGATGAGAAAGTCGTTAGAGGCCTTGCTTCTTCTGACAAGAGTAGCTGATGGAATCCAGATTCCGCATCCAGAACTGAGAAGACCCCTGCGCCATCAAGCTGAGCTGTGATCTCGTCAACGGTTGGAAGAACGTTGCGCTCACGTGTAACTCTCTTATTCAGTTCTCTGTAGTCCACGCATAGTCGCAATGCTCCATTCGGTTTGCGGACTGGAACAAGTGGTGACACCCACGGCGTGGCTTCCTTGACGGGTTCAATGATATCCAACTTGGTCAGCCGTTTCAGCTCGGTCTCGATGTCAGCCCGGATACTGAAAGCTGGGCGTCGTGGTGGCTGGGCTAGAGGCTTTGAACCGTCTTCCAGAGAGATTTCGATGGGTGACACGTTCACCACGTTTGCTTGTGACAGGAGGTTCAGCTCCTTGATGACATCCTGTCCGAAGAGAACGGAGTGCTGACTGGCTGCTACCACGAAACAACTGCACTTCACGTTCTTGCCACCATGTGAAATGTGGACGTCAGCCATGCCCAAAGTCTCTACGACACCGCCATTGTACGCTTTCAGCAAGCGGTCACTCTTGCGCGTGGGCTTGATCACATCATCAGTGAGGATCGTCCGAGTTGCACCTGTGTCTAACAGTCCAGTGCACAGCTCACCATTGACTTTGAGTGTAGTCTGAAATGTCTTGTCGCCTGCGAGTGCCGAGCTACTGGCGGCGAAAGCGGAGTCGTACATGCGACTTGCATGCTCATACTCATCAGGCTCATCCTCTACTGGCCGGGCTCTTTCTTCGTGTCTTTCCACTTTGTTTGACATGCAGACCGCTGCAAAATGCCCTCGCTTGCCACACTTGTTGCAGGTGACGTTGGCCGCAGGACAGTTACGCATGCCTGGTTTGTGACTACGTCCGCAGTATTTGCACTTCTTTCCCTCTGATCCAGAACCAGCTGCAGAGACAGCTTGCACACGCTGGATGGGCACGGGGAACACAGGCGGTGCGTCACTAGCTCTGGTACTATCGTACAGTTTACTGTCAGTAATCGACGCTTCCAACGCCACTGACTTGGTGACGGCGTCGTTCAGGGTCAGCTTCGACTGTTTCAGCAGCTCCTTTCGAAGCTCAACAGAACGCAGGCCCACGATCAGCTGGTCTCGAATTTGGCAGTTGACAACGGTATCCACAGAAGTGGAGCTGAATTCGCAAACATCTGCCTTTTCTCTCAGCCGCCCAACGAACGAAGTCACAGACTCGCCCTCCATTTGGCGGAGTTGGCGGAATTTGTGACGTTCAGACGTGACATTTGTTGACGGTCGAAAGTGTGCCAACAATGCGTCCGTCAAGGCTTGGAACTCATCTCCAGGTGAGCCGTCTTGTGTCTGCTCCACCGTGACAACCAGACCTTTCACAATACGTCTCACTGCTAATCCAGCCAGATTCAAGAACAAGCGTTTCTTGTCAGCTGCTGCCGTCACTTCACTGATTGAAAGGAAATCATTTATGTCCTCGAGCCAGAGTTCAAAATCAGCACCGACGTTGCTCGCAGCATAGTCAGGAATAAATTCCTTGGGCGTCCTGCCCTTCGTCATTTTCGTTCACTGCGCCAATGTAGACATCTATTCAGTCACTCACAAGACAGCCATTGTGCTAAACAGATCTTCTTTAGTTCTCTATCAGAAGTGCGCCATGTCATCTCTCTCGTGCTATACATAAAGCGGTACAAGCACGTGCATGCCTGCACGTGCGTACATAGTACTACATACAACTGCATGTACGATATCTACAGTCGCATTGATTTGATTTTTGGTTTGCTTGTAGGGCGCTGGCACCCGCATTCAGTGACCCAGAAAATGTGGCACTGCTGTGAATAGTTTAGTCGCAAAGTGAAGATTCACGGGTTAAAAGCCCCAAACTTCTAGATAGGTTCTTTTCAGCTTTCAGCAGCCCTGGGCGAGTTCTTTAGAGAAATGTGAGTCTTTTTCTTGGTGCTCTTGTCTATATCCAGCTACACAACGAGATGAGGATGGTCATTGTCATTTTCTGAGCTGCGAACGGGCAGAAAGGTGAGAAAATGTCGGATTTTGACCATTTGTGCTGACCTTTCAATTTCAACGTACCTCTCTATAACATGACCCAGCTGTAATTTCAGTGGTCGCATTGGTTTCATTTTTGGTTTGCTTGTAGGGAGCTGCCGCATTCAGTGACCCAGAAAATTTGGCACTGCTGTGAATAGTTTAGTCGCAAAGTGAAGATTCACGGGTAAAAAGCCCCAAACTTCTAGATAGGTTCTTTTTCAGCTTTTAGCAGCCCTGGGCGAGTTCTTTAGAGAAATGTGGCTCTTTTTCTTGGTGCTCTTGTCTATGTCCAGCTACACAACGAGATGAGGATGGTCATTGTAATTTCTGAGCTGCGAACGGGCAGAAAGGTGAGAAAATGTCGGATTTTGACCCTTTGTGCTGACCTTTCAATTTCAACGTACCTCTCTATAACATGACCCAGCTGTAATTTCAGTGGTCGCATTGGTTTCATTTTTGGTTTGCTTGTAGGGCGCTGGCACCCACAATCAGTGACCCTAATAATTTGGCACTACTGTGAATAGTTTAGTCGCAAAGTGAAGATTCACGGGTTAAAAGCCCCAAACTTCTAGAGGTTCTTTTCAGCTTTCAGCAGCCCTGGGCGAGTTCTTTAGAGAAATGTGAGTCTTTTTCTTGGTACTCTTGTCTATGGCCAGCAACACAACGAGATGAGGATGGTCATTGTCATTTTTCTGAGCTGCGAACGGGCAGAAAGGTGAGAAAATGTCGGATTTTGACCCTTTGTGCTGACCTTTCAATTTCAACGTACCTCTCTATAACATGAACCAGCTGTAATTTCAGTGGTCGCATTTTTTTCATTTTTGGTTTGCTTGTAGTGCGCTGGCACCCGCAATCAGTGACCCTAAAAAGTTGGCACTGCTGTGAATAGTTTAGTCGCAAAGTGAAGATTCACGGGTAAAAAGCCCTAAACTTCTAGATAGGTTCTTTTTCAGCTTTCAGCAGCCCTGGGTGAGTTCTTTAGAGAAATGCAGGTCTTTTTCTTGGTGCTCTTGTCTATGTCCAGCAACACAACGAGATGAGGATGGTCATTGTCATTTTCTGAGCTGCGAACGGGCAGAAAGGTGAGAAAATGTTGTATTTCGACCATTTGTGCTGACCTTTCAATTTCAACGTACCTCTCTATAACATGAACCAGCTGTAATGTCTGTGGTCGCATTGATTTGATTTTTGGTTTGCTTTTAGGGCGCTGGCACCCGCATTCATTGACACAGAAAATGTGGCACTGCTGTGAATAGTTTAGTTGCAACGTGAAGATTCACGGGTAAAAAGCCCCAAACTTCTAGATAGGTTCTTTTTGAGCTTTCAGCAGCCCTGGGCGAGTTCTTTAGAGAAATGTGAGTCTTTTTCTTGGTGCTCTTGTCTATGTCCAGCTACACAACGAGATGAGGATGGTCATTGTCATTTTCTGAACTGCGAACGGGCAGAAAGGTGAGAAAATGTCGGATTTTGACCATTTGTGCTGACCTTTCAATTTCAACGTACCTCTCTATAACATGACCCAGCTGTATTTTCAGTGGTCGCATTGGTTTCATTTTTGGTTTGCTTGTAGGGCGCTGGCACCCGCATTCAGTGACCCAGAAAATGTGGCACTGCTGTGAATAGTTTACTCGCAAAGTGAAGATTCACGGGTTAAAAGCCCCAAACTTCTAGATAGGTTCTTTTCAGCTTTCAGCAGCCCTGGGCGAGTTCTTTAGAGAAATGTGAGTCTTTTTCTTGGTGCTCTTGTCTATATCCAGCTACACAACGAGATGAGGATGGTCATTGTCATTTTCTGAGCTGCGAACGGGCAGAAAGGTGAGAAAATGTCGGATTTTGACCCTTTGTGCTGACCTTTCAATTTCAACGTACCTCTCTATAACATGACCCAGCTGTAATTTCAGTGGTCCCATTGGTTTCATTTTTAGTTTGCTTGTAGGGCGCTGGCACCCGCATTCAGTGACCCAGAAAAGTTGGCACTGCTGTGAATAGTTTAGTCGCAAAGCGAAGATTCAAGGGTAAAAAGGCCCAAAATTCTAGATAGGTTCTTTTTCAGCTTTCAGCAGCCCTGGGCGAGTTCTTTAGAGAAATGTGACTCTTTTTCATGGTGCTTTTGTCTATGTCCAGCTAACCAACGAGATGAGGATGGTCATTGTCATTTTCTAAGCTGCGAACGGGCAGAAAGGTGAGAAAATGTCGGATTTTGACCATTTACGCTGACCTTCCAATTCAACGTACCTCTCCATAACATGACCCAGCTGTAATGTCAGCGGTCGCATTGGTTTCATATTTGGTTTGCTTGTAGTTCGCTGGCACCCACAATCAGTGACCCTAAAAATTAGGCACTGCTGTGAATAGTTTAGTCGCAAAGTGAAGATTCACCCGTAAAAAACCCAAACTTCTAGATAGGTTCTTTTTCAGCTTTCAGCAGCCCTGGGCGAGTTCTTTAGAGAAATGTGGGTCTTTTTCTTGGTGCTCTTGTCTATGTCCAGCTACACAACGAGATGAGGATGGTCATTGTCATTTTCTGAGCTGCGAACGGGCAGAAAGGTGAGAAAATGTCGGATTTTGACCATTTGTGCTGACCTTTCAATTTCAACGTACTTCTCTATAACATGACCCAGCTGTAATTTCAGTGGTCGCATTAGTTTCATTTTTGGTTTGCTTGTAGGGCGCTGGCACCCGCATTCAGTGATCCAGAAAATTTGGCACTGCTGTGAATAGTTTAGTCGCAAAGTGAAGATTCACGGGTAAAAGCCCCAAACTTCTAGATAGGTTCTTTTTCAGCTTTCAGCAGCCCTGGGTGAGTTCTTTAGAGAAATGTGGCTCTTTTTCATGGTGCTATTTTCTATGTCCAGCTACACAACAAGATGAGGATGGTCATTGTCATTTTCTGAGCTGCGAACGGGCAGAAAGGTGAGAAAATGTCGGATTTTGACCATTTGTGCTGACCTTTCAATTTCAACGCACCTCTCTATAACATGACCCAGCTGTAATTTCAGTGGTCGCATTGGTTTCATTTTTGGTTTGCTTGTATTGCGCTAGCACCCGCATTCAGTGACCCAGAAAATTTGGCACTGCTGTGAATAGTTTTTTCGAAAAGTGAAGATTCACGGGTAAAAAGCCCCAAACTTCTAGATAGATTCTTTTTCAGCTTTCAGCAGCCCTGGGTGAGTTCTTTAGAGAAATGTGGCTCTTTTTCATGGTGCTCTTTTCTATGTCCAGCTACACAACGAGATGAGGATGGTCATTGTCATTTTCTGAGCTGCGAACGGGCAGAAAGGTGAGAAAATGTCGGATTTTGACCATTTGTGCTGACCTTTCAATTTCAACGTACCTCTCTATAACATGACCCAGCTGTAATGTCAGTGGTCGCATTGGTTTCATTTTTGGTTTGCTTGTAGGGCGCTGGCACCCGCATTCAGCGACCCAGAGAATTTGGCACTGCTGTGAATAGTTTAGTCGCAAAGTGAAGATTCACGGGTAAAAAGCCCCAAACTTCTAGATAGGTTCTTTTTCAGCTTTCAGCAGCCCTGGGTGAGTTCTTTAGAGAAATGTGACTCTTTTTCATGGTGCTCTTTTCTATGTCCAGCTACACAACGAGATGAGGATGGTCATTGTCATTTTCTGAGCTGCGAACGGGCAGAAAGGTGAGAAAATGTCGGATTTTGACCATTTGTGCTGACCTTTCAATTTCAACGTACCTCTCTATAACATGACCCAGCTGTAATTTCAGTGGTCGCATTGGTTTCATTTTTAATTTGCTTGTAGGGCGCTGGCACCCGCATTCAGTGACCCAGAAAATTTGGCACTGCTGTGAATAGTTTAGTTGCAAAGTGAAGATCCACGGGTAAAAAGCCCCAAACTTCTAGATAGGTTCTTTTTCAGCTTTCAGCAGCCCTGGGTGAGTTGTTTAGAGAAATGTGGCTCTTTTTCATGGTGCTATTTCTATGTCCAGCTACACAACGAGATGAGGATCGTCATTGTCATTTTCTGAGCTGCGAACGGGCAGAAAGGTGAGAAAATGTCGGATTTTGACCATTTGTGCTGACCTTTCAATTTCAACGTACCTCTCTATAACATGACCCAGCTGTAATTTTAGTGGTCGCATTGGTTTCATTTTTGGTTTGCTTGTAGGGCGCTGGCACCTGCATTCAGTGACCCAGAAAATTTGGCACTGCTGTGAATAGTTTAGTCGCAAAGTGAAGATTCACGGGTAAAAAGCCCCAAACTTCTAGATAGGTTCTTTTTCAGCTTTCAGCAGCCCTGGGTGAGTTCTTTAGAGAAATGTGGCTCTTTTTCATGGTGCTCTTTTCTATGTCCAGCTACACAACGAGATGAGGATGGTCATTGTCATTTTCTGAGCTGCGAACGGGCAGAAAGGTGAGAAAATGTCGGATTTTGACCATTTGTGCTGACCTTTCAATTTCAACGTACCTCTCTATAACATGACCCAGCTGTAATTTTAGTGGTCGCATTGGTTTCATTTTTGGTTTGCTTGTAGGGCGCTGGCACCCGCATTCAGCGACCCAGAAAATGTGGCACTGCTGTGAATAGTTAAGTCGCAAAGTGAAGATTCACGGGTAAAAAGGCCCAAAATTCTAGATAGGTTCTTTTTCAGCTTTCAGCAGCCCTGGGTGAGTTCTTTAGAGAAATGTGACTCTTTTTCATGGTGCTCTTGTCTATGTCCAGCTAACCAACGAGATGAGGATGGTCATTGTCATTTTCTAAGCTGCGAACGGGCAGAAAGGTGAGAAAATGTCGGATTTTGACCATTTGTGCTGACCATCCAATTTCAGTGTACCTCTCTATAACATGACCCAGCTGTAATGTCAGCAGTCGCATTGGTTTCATATTTGGTTTGCTTGTAGGGCGCTGGCACAGACAATCAGTGACCCAGAAAATTTGGCACTGCTGTGAATAGTTTTTTCGAAAAGTGAAGATTCACGGGTAAAAAGCCCCAAACTTCTAGATAGGTTCTTTTTCAGCTTTCAGCAGCCCTGGGTGAGTTCTTTAGAGAAATGTGGCTCTTTTTCATGGTGCTCTTTTCTATGTCCAGCTACACAACGAGATGAGGATGGTCATTGTCATTTTCTGAGCTGCGAACGGGCAGAAAGGTGAGAAAATGTCGGATTTTGACCATTTGTGCTGACCTTTCAATTTCAACGTACCTCTCTATAACATGACCCAGCTGTAATTTCAGTGGTCGCATTGGTTTCATTTTTAATTTGCTTGTAGGGCGCTGGCACCCGCATTCAGTGACCCAGAAAATTTGGCACTGCTGTGAATAGTTTAGTCGCAAAGTGAAGATTCACGGGTAAAAAGCCCCAAACTTCTAGATAGGTTCTTTTTCAGCTTTCAGCAGCCCTGGGTGAGTTGTTTAGAGAAATGTGGCTCTTTTTCATGGTGCTATTTTCTATGTCCAGCTACACAACGATATGCGGATGGTCATTGTCGTTTTCTGAGCGCTGCGAACGGGCAGAAAGGTGAGAAAATGTCGGATTTTGACCATTTGTGCTGACCTTTCAATTCCAACGTACCTCTCTATAACATGACCCAGCTGTAATTTTAGTGGTCGCATTGGTTTCATTTTTGGTTTGCTTGTAGGGCGCTGGCACCTGCATTCAGTGACCCAGAAAATTTGGCACTGCTGTGAATAGTTTAGTCGCAAAGTGAAGATTCACGGGTAAAAAGCCCCAAACTTCTAGATAGGTTCTTTTTCAGCTTTCAGCAGCCCTGGGTGAGTTCTTTAGAGAAATGTGGCTCTTTTTCATGGTGCTATTTTCTATGTCCAGGTACACAACGAGATGAGGATGGTCATTGTCATTTTCTGAGCTGCGAACGGGCAGAAAGGTGAGAAAATGTCGGATTTTGACCATTTGTGCTGACCTTTCAATTTCAACGTACCTCTCTATAACATGACCCAGCTGTAATTTTAGTGGTCGCATTGGTTTCATTTTTGGTTTGCTTGTAGGGCGCTGGCACCCGCATTCAGCGACCCAGAAAATGTGGCACTGCTGTGAATAGTTAAGTCGCAAAGTGAAGATTCACGGGTAAAAAGGCCCAAAATTCTAGATAGGTTCTTTTTCAGCTTTCAGCAGCCCTGGGTGAGTTCTTTAGAGAAATGTGACTCTTTTTCATGGTGCTCTTGTCTATGTCCAGCTAACCAACGAGATGAGGATGGTCATTGTCATTTTCTAAGCTGCGAACGGGCAGAAAGGTGAGAAAATGTCGGATTTTGACCATTTGTGCTGACCATCCAATTTCAGTGTACCTCTCTATAACATGACCCAGCTGTAATGTCAGCAGTCGCATTGGTTTCATATTTGGTTTGCTTGTAGGGCGCTGGCACAGACAATCAGTGACCCAGAAAATTTGGCACTGCTGTGAATAGTTTTTTCGAAAAGTGAAGATTCACGGGTAAAAAGCCCCAAACTTCTAGATAGGTTCTTTTTCAGCTTTCAGCAGCCCTGGGTGAGTTCTTTAGAGAAATGTGGCTCTTTTTCATGGTGCTCTTTTCTATGTCCAGCTACACAACGAGATGAGGATGGTCATTGTCATTTTCTGAGCTGCGAACGGGCAGAAAGGTGAGAAAATGTCGGATTTTGACCATTTGTGCTGACCTTTCAATTTCAACGTACCTCTCTATAACATGACCCAGCTGTAATTTCAGTGGTCGCATTGGTTTCATTTTTAATTTGCTTGTAGGGCGCTGGCACCCGCATTCAGTGACCCAGAAAATTTGGCACTGCTGTGAATAGTTTAGTCGCAAAGTGAAGATTCACGGGTAAAAAGCCCCAAACTTCTAGATAGGTTCTTTTTCAGCTTTCAGCAGCCCTGGGTGAGTTGTTTAGAGAAATGTGGCTCTTTTTCATGGTGCTATTTTCTATGTCCAGCTACACAACGATATGCGGATGGTCATTGTCGTTTTCTGAGCGCTGCGAACGGGCAGAAAGGTGAGAAAATGTCGGATTTTGACCATTTGTGCTGACCTTTCAATTCCAACGTACCTCTCTATAACATGACCCAGCTGTAATTTTAGTGGTCGCATTGGTTTCATTTTTGGTTTGCTTGTAGGGCGCTGGCACCTGCATTCAGTGACCCAGAAAATTTGGCACTGCTGTGAATAGTTTAGTCGCAAAGTGAAGATTCACGGGTAAAAAGCCCCAAACTTCTAGATAGGTTCTTTTTCAGCTTTCAGCAGCCCTGGGTGAGTTCTTTAGAGAAATGTGGCTCTTTTTCATGGTGCTATTTTCTATGTCCAGGTACACAACGAGATGAGGATGGTCATTGTCATTTTCTGAGCTGCGAACGGGCAGAAAGGTGAGAAAATGTCGGATTTTGACCATTTGTGCTGACCTTTCAATTTCAACGTACCTCTCTATAACATGACCCAGCTGTATTTTCAGTGGTCGCATTGGTTTGATTTTTGGTTTGCTTGTAGGGCGCTGGCACCCGCATTCAGCGACCCAGAAAATTTGGCACTGCTGTGAATAGTTTAGTCGCAAAGTGAAGATTCACGGGTTAAAAGGCCCAAAATTCTAGATAGGTTCTTTTTCAGCTTTCAGCAGCCCTGGGTGAGTTCTTTAGAGAAATGTGACTCTTTTTCATGGTGCTCTTGTCTATGTTCAGCTAACCAACGATATGAGGATGGTCATTGTCATTTTCTAAGCTGCGAACGGGCAGAGAGGTGAGAAAATGTCGGATTTTGACCATTTGTGCTGACCATCCAATTTCAGTGTACCTCTCTATAACATGACCCACCTGTAATGTCAGCGGTCGCATTGGTTTCATATTTGGTTTGCTTGTAGGGCGCTGGCACAGACAATCAGTGACCCTAAAAATTTGGCCCTGCTGTGAATAGTTTAGTCGCAAAGTGAAGATTCACGGGTAAAAAGCCCCAAACTTCTAGATAGGTTCTTTTTCAGCTTTCAGCAGGCCTGGGCGAGTTCTTTGGAGAAATGTGGGTCTTTTTCTTCGTGGTCTTGTCTATGTCAAGCAACACAACGAGATGAGGATGGTCATTATCATTTTCTGAGCTGCGAACGGGCAGAAAGGTGAGAAAATGTCGGATTTTGACCATTTGTGCTGACCTTTTAATTTCAACGTACCTATCTATAACATGAACCAGCTGTAATGTCAGTGGTCGCATTGATTTGATTTTTGGTTTGCTTTTAGGGCGCTGGCACCCGCATTCATTGACCCAGAAAATGTGGCACTGCTGTGAATAGTTTAGTCGCAAAGTGAAGATTCACGGGTAAAAAGCTCCAAACTTCTGGATAGGTTCTTTTTCAGCTTTCAGCAGCCCTGGGCGAGTTCTTTAGAGAAATGTGGCTCTTTTTCATGGTGCTCTTGTCTATGTCCAGCTACACAACGAGATGAGGATGGTCATGGTCATTTTCTGAGCTTCGAACGGGCAGAAAGGTGAGAAAATGTCGGATTTTGACCATTTGTGCTGACCTTTCAATTTCAACGTACCTCTCTATAACATGACCCAGCTGTAATTTCAGTGGTCGCATTGGTTTCATTTTTGGTTTGCTTGTAGGGCGCTGGCACCCGCATTCAGTGACCCAGAAAATTTGGCACTGCTGTGAATAGTTTAGTCGCAAAGTGAAGATTTACGGGTAAAAAGCCCCAAACTTCTAGATAGGTTCTTTATCAGCTTTCAGCATCCCTGGGCGAGTTCTTTAGAGAAATGTGGGTCTTTTTCTTGGTGCTCTTGTCTATGTCCGGCAACACAACGAGATTAGGATGGTCATTGTCATTTTCTGAGCTGCGAACGGGCAGAAAGGTGAGAAAATGTCGGATTTTGACCATTTGTGCTGACCTTTCAATTTCAACGTACCTCTCTATAACATGAACCAGCTGTAATGTCAGTGGTCGGATTGATTTGATTTTTGGTTTGCTTTTAGGGCGCTGGCACCCGCATTCATTGACGCAGAAAATGTGGCACTGCTGTGAATAGTTTAGTCGCAAAGTGAAGATTCACGGGTAAAAAGCCCCAAACTTCTAGATAGGTTCTTTTTCAGCTTTCAGCAGCCCTGGGCGAGTACTTTAGAGAAATGTGACTCTTTTTCATGGTGCTCTTGTCTATGTCCAGCTAACCAACGAGATGAGGATGGTCATTGTCATTTTCTAAGCTGCGAACGGGCAGAAAGGTGAGAAAATGTCGGATTTTGACCATTTGTGCTGACCTTTTAATTTCAACGTACCTCTCTATAACGTGAACCAGCTTTAATGTCAGTGGTCGCATTGATTTGATTTTTGGTTTGCTTGTAGGGCACTGGCACCCGCATTCAGTGGCACAGAAAATTTGGCACTGCTGTGAATAGTTTAGTCGCAAAGTGAAGATTCACGGGTAAAAAGCCCCAAACTTCTAGATAGGTTCTTTTTCAGCTTTCAGCAGCCCTGGGCGAGTTCTTTAGAGAAATGTGGGTCTTTTTCTTCGTGCTCTTGTCTATGTCCAGCTACACAACGAGATGAGGATGGTCATTGTCATTTTCTGAGCTGCGAACGGGCAGAAAGGTGAGAAAATGTCGGATTTTGACCATTTGTGCTGACCTTTCAATTTCAACGTACCTCTCTATAACATGACCCAGCTGTAACTTCATTGGTCACATTGGTTTTATTTTTGGTTTGCTTGTAGGGCGCTGGCACCCGCATTCAGTGACCCAGAAAATTTGGCACTGCTGTGAATAGTTTGTCGCAAAGTGAAGATTCACGGGTAAAAAGCCCCAAACTTCTAGATAGGTTCTTTTTCAGCTTTCAGCAGCCCTGGGTGAGTTCTTTAGAGAAATGTGGCTCTTTTTCATGGTGCTATTTTCTATGTCCAGCTACACAACGAGATGAGGATGGTCATTGTCATTTTCTGAGCTGCGAACGGGCAGAAAGAGGAGAAAATGTCGGATTTTGACCATTTGTGCTGACCTTTCAATTTCAACGTACCTCTCTATTAACATGACCCAGCTGTAATTTCAGTGGTTGCATTGGTTTGGTTTTTGGTTTGCTTGTAGGGCGCTGGCACCCGCATTCAGTGACCCCAAAAATTTGGCACTGCTGTGAATAGTTTAGTCGCAAAGTGAAGATTCACGGGTAAAAAGCCCCAAACTTCTAGATAGGTTCTTTTTCAGCTTTCAGCAGCCCTGGGCGAGTTCTTTAGAGACATGTTAGTCTTTTTCTTGGTGCTCTTGTCCATGTCCAGCTACACAACGAGATGAGGATGGTCATTGTCATTTTCTGAGCTGCGAACGGGCAGAAAGGTGAGAAAATGTCGGATTTTGACCATTTGTGCTGACCTTTCAATTTCAACGTACCTCTCTATAACATGACCCAGCTGTAATTTCAGTGGTCGCATTGGTTTCATTTTTGGTTTGCTTGTAGAGCGCTGGCACCCGCATTCTGACCCAGAAAAGTTGGCACTGCTGTGAATAGTTTAGTCGCAAAGTGAAGATTCACGGGTAAAAAACCCAAACTTCTAGATAGGTTCTTTTTCAGCTTTCAGCAGCCTTGGGTGAGTTCTTTAGAGAAATGTGGCTCTTTTTCATGGTGCTATTTTCTATGTCCAGCTACACAACGAGATGAGGATGGTCATTGTCATTTTCTGAGCTGCGAACGGGCAGAAGGGTGAAAAAATGTCGGATTTTGACCATTTGTGCTGACCTTTTAATTTCACCGTACCTCTCTATAACATGAACCAGCTGTAATTTCAGTGGTCGCATTGATTTGATTTTTGGTTTGCTTTTAGGGCGCTGGCACCCGCATTCATTGACCCAGAAAATTTGGCACTGCTGTGAATAGTTTAGTCGCAAAGTGAAGATTCACGGGTAAAAAGCCCCAAACTTCTAGATAGGTTTTTTCAGCTTTCAGCAGCCCTGGGCGAGTTCTTTAGAGAAATGTGACTCTTTTTCATGGTGCTCTTGTCTATGTCCAGCTAACCAACGAGATGAGGATGGTCATTGTCATTTTCTAAGCTGCGAACGGGCAGAAAGGTGAGAAAATGTCGGATTTTGACCATTTGTGCTGACCTTTCAATTTCAACGTACCTCTCTATAACATGACCCAGCTGTAATGTCAGCGGTCGCATTGGTTTCATAATTGGTTTGCTTGTAGGGCGCTGGCACCCACAATCAGTGACCCTAAAAATCGGGCACTGCTGTGAATAGTTTAGTCGCAAAGTGAAGATTCACGGGTAAAAAGCCCCAAACTTCTAGATAGGTTCTTTTTCAGCTTTCAGCAGCCCTGGGCGAGTTCTTTAGAGAAATGTGGATCTTTTTCTTGGTGCTCTTGTCTATGTCCAGCTACACAACGAGATGAGGATGGTCATTGTCATTTTCTGAGCTGCGAACGGGCAGAAAGGTGAGAAAATGTCGGATTTTGACCATTTGTGCTGACCTTTCAATTTCAACTTACCTCTCTATAACATGACCCAGCTGTATTTTCAGTGGTCGCATTGGTTTCATTTTTGGTTTGCTTGTAGGGCGCTGGCACCCGCATTCAGTGACCCAGAAAATTTGGCACTGCTGTGAATAGTTTAGTCGCAAAGTGAAGATTCACGGGTAAAAAGCCCCAAACTTCTAGATAGGTTCTTTTTCAGCTTTCAGCAGCCCTGGGTGAGTTCTTTAGAGAAATGTGAGTCTTTTTCTTGGTGCTTTTGTCTTTGTCCAGCTACACAACGAGATGAGGATGGTCATTGTCATTTTCTGAGCTGCGATAGGGCAGAAAGGTGAGAAAATGTCGGATTTTGACCATTTGTGCTGACCTTTCAATTTCAACGTACCTCTCTATAACATGACCCAGCTGTAATTTCAGTGGTCGCATTGGTTTCATTTTTGGTTTCCTTGTAGAGCGCTGGCACCCGCATTCAGTGACCCAGAAAAGTTGGCACTGCTGTGAATAGTTTAGTCGCAAAGTGAAGATTGACGGGTAAAAAAACCCAAACTTCTAGATAGGTTCTTTTTCAGCTTTCAGCAGCCTTGGGTTAGTTCTTTAGAGAAATGTGGCTCTTTTCCATTGTGCTATTTTCTATGTCCAGCTACACAACGAGATGAGAATGGTCATTGTCATTTTCTGAGCTGCGAACGGGCAGAAGGGTGAGAAAATGTCGGATTTTGACCATTTGTGCTGACCTTTCAATTTCAACGTACCTCTCTATAACATGAACCAGCTGTAATTTCAGTGGTCGCATTGATTTGATTTTTGGTTTGCTTTTAGGGCGCTGGCACCCGCATTCATTGACCCAGAAAATTTGGCACTGCTGTGAATAGTTTAGTCGCAAAGTGAAGATTCACGGGTAAAAAGCCCCAAACTTCTAGATAGGTTTTTTCAGCTTTCAGCAGCCCTGGGCGAGTTGTTTAGAGAAATGTGACTCTTTTCCATGGTGCTCTTGTCTATGTCCACCTAACCAACGAGATGAGGATGGTCTTTGTCATTTTCTAAGCTGCGAACGGGCAGAAAGGTGAGAAAATGTGGGATTTTGACCATTTGTGCTGGCCTTTCAATTTCAACGTACCTCTCTATAACATGCCCCAGCTGTAATGTCAGCGGTCGCATTGGTTTCATAATTGGTTTGCTTGTAGGGCGCTGGCACCCACAATCAGTGACCCTAAAAATTTGGCACTGCTGTGAATAGTTTAGTCGCAAAAAGAAAATTCACGGGTAAAAAGCCCCAAACTTCTAGATAGGTTCTTTTTCAGCTTTCAGCAGCCCTGGGTGAGTTCTTTAGAGAAATGTGAGTCTTTTTCTTGGTGCTTTTGTCTTTGTCCAGCTACACAACAAGATGAGGATAGTCATTGTCATTTTCTGAGCTGCGAACGGGCAGAAAGGTGAGAAAATGTCGGATTTTGACCATTTGTGCTGACCTTTCAATTTCAATGTACCTCTCTATAACATGACCCAGCTGTAATTTCAGTGGTTGCATTGGTTTGGTTTTTGGTTTGCTTGTAGGGCGCTGGCACCCGCATTCAGTGACTCAGAAAATTTGGCACTGCTGTGAATAGTTTAGTCGCAAAGTGAAGATTCACGGGTAAAAAGCCCCAAACTTCTAGATAGGTTCTTTTTCAGCTTTCAGCAGCCCTGGGCGAGTTCTTTAGAGACATGTGAGTCTTTTTCTTGGTGCTCTTGTCCATGTCCAGCTACATAACGAGATGAGGATAGTCATTGTCATTTTCTGAGCTGCGAACGGGCAGAAAGGTGAGAAAATGTCGGATTTTGACCATTTGTGCTGACCTTTCAATTTCAACGTATCTCTCTATAACATGACCCAGCTGTAATTTCAGTGGTCGCATTGGTTTCATTTTTGGTTTGCTTGTAGAGCGCTAGCACCCGCATTCAGTGACCCAGAAAATTTGGCACTGCTGTGAATAGTTAAGTCGCAAAGTGAAGATTCACGGGTAAAAAGCCCCAAACTTCTAGATAGGTTCTTTTTCAGCTTTCAGCAGCCCTGGGCGAGTTCTTTAGAGAAATGTGGCTCTTTTTCATGGTGCTATTTTCTATGTCCAGCTACACAACGAGATGAGGATGGTCATTGTCATTTTCTGAGCTGCGAACGGGCAGAAAGGTGAGAAAATGTCGGATTTTGACCATTTGTGCTGACCTTTCAATTTCAACGTACCTCTCTATAACATGACCCAGCTGTAATTTCAGTGGTCGCATTGGTTTCATTTTTGGTTTGCTTGTAGGGCGCTGGCACCCGCATTCAGTGACCCAGAAAATTTGGCACTGGTGTGAATAGTTTAGTCGCAAAGTGAAGATTCACGGGTAAAAGCCCCAAACTTCTAGATAGGTTCTTTTTCAGCTTTCAGCAGCCCTGGGTGAGTTCTTTAGAGAAATGTGGCTCTTTTTCATGGTGCTATTTTCTATGTCCAGCTACACAACGAGATGAGGATGGTCATTGTCATTTTCTGAGCTGCGAACGGGCAGAAAGGTGAGAAAATGTCGGATTTTGACCATTTGTGCTGACCTTTCAATTTCAACGTACCTCTCTATAACATGACCCAGCTGTATTTTCAGTGGTCGCATTGGTTTCATTTTTGGTTTGCTTGTAGAGCGCTGGCACCCGCATTCAGTGACCCCGAAAATTTGGCACTGCTTTGAATAGTTTGGTCGCAAAGTGAAGATTCACGGGTAAAAAAACCCAAACTTCTAGATAGGTTCTTTTTCAGCTTTCAGCAGCCCTGGGTGAGTTCTTTAGAGAAATGTGGCTCTTTTTCATTGTGCTATTTTCTATGTCCAGCTACACAACGAGATGAGGATGGTCATTGTCATTTTCTGAGCTGCGAACGGGCAGAAGGGTGAGAAAATGTCGGATTTTGACCATTTGTGCTGGCCTTTCAATTTCAACGTACCTCTCTATAACATGACCCAGCTGTATTTTCAGTGGTCGCATTGGTTTCATTTTTGGTTTGCTTGTAGAGCGCTGGCACCCGCATTCAGTGACCCAGAAAATTTGGCACTCCTGTGAATAGTTTAGTCGCAAAGTGAAGATTCACGGGTAAAAGCCCCAAACTTCTAGATAGGTCCTTTTTCAGCTTTCAGCAGCCCTGGGCGAGTTCTTTAGAGAAATGTGGGTCTTTTTCTTGGTGCTCTTGTCTATGTCCAGCAACACAACGAGATGAGGATGGTCATTGTCATTTTCTGAGCTGCGAACGGGCAGAAAGGTGAGAAATGTCGGATTTTGACCATTTGTGCTGACCTTTTAATTTCAACGTACCTCTCTATAACATGAATCAGCTGTAATGTCAGTGGTCGCATTGATTTGATTTTTCGTTTGCTTTTAGGGCGCTGGCACCCGCATTCATTGACCCAGAAAATGTGGCACTGCTGTGAATAGTTTAGTCGCAAAGTGAAGATTCACGGGTAAAAAGCCCCAAACTTCTAGATAGGTTCTTTTTCAGCTTTCAGCAGCCCTGGGCGAATTCTTTAGAGAAATGTGACTCTTTTTCATGGTGCTCTTGTCTATGTCCAGCTAACAAACGAGATGAGGATGGTCATTGTCATTTTCTGAGCTGCGAACGGGCAGAAAGTAGAGAAAATGTCGGATTTTGACCATTTGTGCTGACCTTTCAATTTTAACGTACCTCTCTATAACATGACCCAGCTGTAATGTCAGCGGTCGCATTGGTTTCATATTTGGTTACCTTGTACGGCGCTGGCACCCACAATCAGTGACCCACAAAATTTGGCACTGCTGTGAATAGTTTAGTCGCAAAGTGAAGATTCACGGGTAAAAAGCCCCAAACTTCTAGATAGGTTCTTTTTCAACTTTCAGCAGCCCTGGTCGAGTTCTTAAGAGAAATGTGTGTCTTTTTCTTGGTGCTCTTGTCTATGTCCAGCTACACAACGAGATGAGTATTGTCATTGTCATTTTCTGAGCTGCGAACGGGCAGAAAGGTGAGAAAATGTCGGATTTTGACCATTTGTGCTGGCCTTTCAATTTCAACGTACCTCTCTATAACATGACCCAGCTGTATTTTCAGTGGTCGCATTGGTTTCATTTTTGGTTTGCTTGTAGGGCGCTGGCACCCGCATTCAGTGACCCAGAAAATTTGGCACTGCTGTGAATAGTTTAGTCGCAAAGTGAAGATTCACAGGTAAAAAGGCCCAAACTTCAAGATAGGTTCTTTTTCAGCTTTCAGCAGCCCTGGGTGAGTTCTTTAGAGAAATGTGACTCTTTTTCATGGTGCTCTTGTCTATGTCCAGCTAACCAACGAGATGAGGATGGTCATTGTCATTTTCTGAACTGCGAACGGGCAGAAAGGTGAGAAAATGTCGGATTTTGACCATTTGTGCTGACCTTTCAATTTCAACGTACCTCTCTATAACATGACCCAGCTGTAATGTCAGCGGTCGCATTGGTTTCATTTTTGGTTTGCTTGTAGGGCGATGGCATTCACAATCAGTGACCCTAAAAAATTTGGCACTGCTGTGAATAGTTTAGTCGCAAAGTGAAGATTCACGGGTAAAAAGCCCCAAACTTCTAGATAGGTTCTTTTTCAGCTTTCAGCAGCCCTGGGCGAGTTCTTTAGAGAAATATGGGTCTTTTTCTTGGTGCTCTTGTCTATGTCCAGCTAACCAACGAGATGAGGATGGTCATTGTCATTTTCTGAACTGCGAACGGGCAGAAAGGTGAGAAAATGTCGGATTTTGACCATTTGTGCTGACCTTTTAATTTCAACGTACCTCTCTATAACGTGAACCAGCTTTAATGTCAGTGGTCGCATTGATTTGATTTTTGGTTTGCTTGTAGGGCACTGGCACCCGCATTCAGTGACACAGAAAATTTGGCACTGCTGTGAATAGTTTAGTTGCAAAGTGAAGATTCACGGGTAAAAAGCCCCAAACTTCTAGATAGGTTCTTTTTCAGCTTTCAGCAGCCCTGGGCGAGTTCTTTAGAGAAATGTGAGTCTTTTTCCATGTGCTCTTGTCTATGTCCAGCTACACAACGAGATGAGGATGGTCATTGTCATTTTCTGAGCTGCGAACGGGCAGAAAGGTGAGAAAATGTCGGATTTTGACCATTTGTGCTGACCTTTCAATTTCAACGTACCTCTCTATAACATGACCCAGCTGTAATTTCAGTGGTCGCATTGGTTTCATTTTTGGTTTGCTTGTAGGGCGCTGGCACCCGCATTCAGTGACCCAGAAAATTTGGCACTGGTGTGAATAGTTTAGTCGCAAAGTGAAGATTCACGGGTAAAAGCCCCAAACTTCTAGATAGGTTCTTTTTCAGCTTTCAGCAGCCCTGGGTGAGTTCTTTAGAGAAATGTGGCTCTTTTTCATGGTGCTATTTTCTATGTCCAGCTACACAACGAGATGAGGATGGTCATTGTCATTTTCTGAGCTGCGAACGGGCAGAAAGGTGAGAAAATGTCGGATTTTGACCATTTGTGCTGACCTTTCAATTTCAACGTACCTCTCTATAACATGACCCAGCTGTATTTTCAGTGGTCGCATTGGTTTCATTTTTGGTTTGCTTGTAGAGCGCTGGCACCCGCATTCAGTGACCCCGAAAATTTGGCACTGCTTTGAATAGTTTGGTCGCAAAGTGAAGATTCACGGGTAAAAAAACCCAAACTTCTAGATAGGTTCTTTTTCAGCTTTCAGCAGCCCTGGGTGAGTTCTTTAGAGAAATGTGGCTCTTTTTCATTGTGCTATTTTCTATGTCCAGCTACACAACGAGATGAGGATGGTCATTGTCATTTTCTGAGCTGCGAACGGGCAGAAGGGTGAGAAAATGTCGGATTTTGACCATTTGTGCTGGCCTTTCAATTTCAACGTACCTCTCTATAACATGACCCAGCTGTATTTTCAGTGGTCGCATTGGTTTCATTTTTGGTTTGCTTGTAGAGCGCTGGCACCCGCATTCAGTGACCCAGAAAATTTGGCACTCCTGTGAATAGTTTAGTCGCAAAGTGAAGATTCACGGGTAAAAGCCCCAAACTTCTAGATAGGTCCTTTTTCAGCTTTCCGCAGCCCTGGGCGAGTTCTTTAGAGAAATGTGGGTCTTTTTCTTGGTGCTCTTGTCTATGTCCAGCAACACAACGAGATGAGGATGGTCATTGTCATTTTCTGAGCTGCGAACGGGCAGAAAGGTGAGAAATGTCGGATTTTGACCATTTGTGCTGACCTTTTAATTTCAACGTACCTCTCTATAACATGAATCAGCTGTAATGTCAGTGGTCGCATTGATATGATTTTTGGTTTGCTTCTAGGGCGCTGGCACCCGCATTCATTGACCCAGAAAATGTGGCACTGCTGTGAATAGTTTAGTCGCAAAGTGAAGATTCACGGGTAAAAAGCCCCAAACTTCTAGATAGGTTCTTTTTCAGCTTTCAGCAGCCCTGGGCGAGTTCTTTAGAGAAATGTGACTCTTTTTCATGGTGCTCTTGTCTATGTCCAGCTAACCAACGAGATGAGGATGGTCATTGTCATTTTCTAAGCTGCGAACGGGCAGAAAGTAGAGAAAATGTCGGATTTTGACCATTTGTGCTGACCTTTCAATTTCAACGTACCTCTCTATAACATGACCCAGCTGTAATGTCAGCGGTCGCTTTGGTTTCATATTTGGTTACCTTGTAGGGCGCTGGCACCCACAATCAGTGACCCACAAAATTTGGCACTGCTGTGAATAGTTTAGTCGCAAAGTGAAGATTCACGGGTAAAAAGCCCCAAACTTCTAGATAGGTTCTTTTTCAACTTTCAGCAGCCCTGGTCGAGTTCTTTAGAGAAATGTGTGTCTTTTTCTTGGTGCTCTTGTCTATGTCCAGCTACACAACGAGATGAGTATTGTCATTGTCATTTTCTGAGCTGCGAACGGGCAGAAAGGTGAGAAAATGTCGGATTTTGACCATTTGTGCTGGCCTTTCAATTTCAACGTACCTCTCTATAACATGACCCAGCTGTATTTTCAGTGGTCGCATTGGTTTCATTTTTGGTTTGCTTGTAGGGCGCTGGCACCCGCATTCAGTGACCCAGAAAATTTGGCACTGGTGTGAATAGTTTAGTCGCAAAGTGAAGATTCACAGGTAAAAAGGCCCAAACTTCTAGATAGGTTCTTTTTCAGCTTTCAGCAGCCCTGGGTGAGTTCTTTAGAGAAATGTGACTCTTTTTCATGGTGCTCTTGTCTATGTCCAGCTAACCAACGAGATGAGGATGGTCATTGTCATTTTCTGAGCTGCGAACGGGCAGAAAGGTGAGAAAATGTCGGATTTTGACCATTTGTGCTGACCTTTCAATTTCAACGTACCTCTCTATAACATGACCCAGCTGTAATGTCAGCGGTCGCATTGGTTTCATTTTTGGTTTGCTTGTAGGGCGATGGCATTCACAATCAGTGACCCTAAAAAATTTGGCACTGCTGTGAATAGTTTAGTCGCAAAGTGAAGATTCACGGGTAAAAAGCCCCAAACTTCTAGATAGGTTCTTTTTCAGCTTTCAGCAGCCCTGGGCGAGTTCTTTAGAGAAATGTGGGTCTTTTTCTTGGTGCTCTTGTCTATGTCCAGCTAACCAACGAGATGAGGATGGTCATTGTCATTTTCTGAACTGCGAACGGGCAGAAAGGTGAGAAAATGTCGGATTTTGACCATTTGTGCTGACCTTTTAATTTCAACGTACCTCTCTATAACGTGAACCAGCTTTAATGTCAGTGGTCGCATTGATTTGATTTTTGGTTTGCTTGTAGGGCACTGGCACCCGCATTCAGTGACACAGAAAATTTGGCACTGCTGTGAATAGTTTAGTCGCAAAGTGAAGATTCACGGGTAAAAAGCCCCAAACTTCTAGATAGGTTCTTTTTCAGCTTTCAGCAGCCCTGGGCGAGTTCTTTAGAGAAATGTGAGTCTTTTTCCATGTGCTCTTGTCTATGTCCAGCTACACAACGAGATGAGGATGGTCATTGTCATTTTCTGAGCTGCGAACGGGCAGAAAGGTGAGAAAATGTTGGATTTTGACCATTTGTGCTGACCTTTCAATTTCAACGCACCTCTCTATAACATGACCCAGCTGTAATTTCAGTGGTCGCATTGGTTTCATTTTTGGTTTGCTTGTAGGGCGCTGGCACCCGCATTCAGTGACCCAGAAAATTTGGCACTGCTGTGAATAGCTTAGTCGCAAAGTGAAGATTCACGGGTAAAAAGCCCCAAACTTCTAGATAGGTTCTTTTTCAGCTTTCAGCAGCCCTGCCTAAGTTCTTTAGAGAAATGTGAGTCTTTTTCATGGTGCTATTTTCTATGTTCAATTACACAACGAGATGAGGTTGGTCATTGTCATTTTCTGAGCTGCGAACGGGCAGAAAGGTGAGAAAATGTCGGATTTTGACCATTTCTGCTGACCTTTCAATTTCAACGTACCTCTCTATAACATGACCCAGCTGTAATTTCAGTGGTCGCATTGGTTTCATTTTTGGTTTGCTTGTAGGGCGCTAGCACCCGCATTCAGTGACCCAGAAAATTTGGCACTGCTGTGAATAGTTTAGTCGCAAAGTGAAGATTCACGGGTAAAAAGCCCCAAACTTCTAGATAGGTTCTTTTTCAGCTTTCAGCAGCCCTGGGTGAGTTCTTTAGAGAAATGTGGCTCTTTTTCATGGTGCTATTTTCTACGTCCAGCTACATAACGAGATGAGGATGGTCATTGTCATTTTCTGAGCTGCGAACGGGCAGAAAGGTGAGAAAATGTCGGATTTTGACCATTTGTGCTGACCTTTCAATTTCAACGTACCTCTCTATAACATGACCCAGCTGTAATTTCAGTGGTCGCATTGGTTTCATTTTTGGTTTGCTTGTAGGGCGCTGGCACCCGCATTCAGTGACCCAGAAAATTTGGCACTCCTGTGAATAGTTTAGTAGCAAAGTCGCAAGTTGCTAAGTTTGTTCAGTCTGGCTGGCCTGATCACAGCAAGGACGTCCCTGCTGACATCCTCCCATACTTTGCCGGCCGCCAGCATCTCTCTGTTGCCAACGGTCGTATCTTCTATGGTGCACGGGTGGTTGTGCCTGCATCTCTGCGTGATATGGTCATCCGCAAGCTGCACACGTCTTCTCATCACGGTATCGCCAAGTGCCAGGCGCAGGCCCGCCAATCTGTCTGGTGGCCGTCCTGGAAGAATGACGTCGCTTCTGCTGTTAGGCAATGTCGCACATGCTGTCAGCACCGTAGCCAACCTGAACCTCTCCGACCGACTGAGTTTCCGTCACTCCCGTGGCAGCGAGTTGGTTCTGACCTGTGTCAATTCGGTAACACAACATACCTGGTGGTTGTCGA